CAATTTCAGGAAATTTGGAAAATGGAAGAAAGCACAAGGAGGAAAGAAAATTACAAGTGTAAAGTTATAATTATCAAAATATAAGAGATTAACTTACTAGAATTTATGGGTTTTCCCCCCTCCCCAGTTTTCCTCACTAAAACATGATTCCAGGAGCTACACAGTATTAAAAAGGATGAATGCATGCCAACTCACTTCCATTCTATTGGCTGAATTATTTCTAAACATTTTATACAATAAGCCCACTGCCATTGAATTGTTTCTGACACATAGACCCTCCATCAGGTTTCCTCAAGGTTGAAAATCTTTATGGAAGGAGATTGCTCATCTTTCTCCTGGGGAGAGGCTGGTGGATTCCAACCACTAACTTTTTGTTTAGTACATTACATACTGCACCACTACGGCTCTTGGCTTCCTATGACAGTGTGTATGTGTGTGCTATTGTTGTTGATGTGTCATTGAGTTGGATCCAAATCACAGTGGTTTTCCAGAGACTGTGAATCACACAGGAGGAGACTGCCCCTCCTTCTGTGAGGGGTGTGTGTGCATGTGTGTACACACACACACACACACACACACACACACATCTACTCATAAATTTTGCCCGTGTTTCTGATTATTAGAATAAGTCGCTTACATTTGGATTAATGGACTAGGGTATGAGCTTCTTAAAGGCTTTGAATTCAGTCAAGCCTCATTACATGTAGAATCCATATTTGCAAATGTCTACTTGATGAGATTTATTTGTAACCTTTAATCATTATTCACAGCATTCTCATAGTCATTCATGGACATGAGTGGCAGAAATGTGAGTTGCCAGAAGCTTGCGTTCCCAGCTGGGGTTGACCAAGGTGATGCTCTGCCTTATTTTGAGTGTTTATCTGGTAAACCATCATCCTTTCTGTGATCTATTTAGTGCTACGGGTTTTTGCATTTTCATGCTTATATTGATGATTTGCCTATTTAAAACGATCCCCAAGTGTAGTGCTTAAGTGCTGTCTGGTGTTCCTGAGAGCAAGAAGGCTGTATTGTGCCACAAAGAGAGAACGGCTGTGTTAGATAAGCTTTACTCAGGCCTGAGTTATATGGCTATTGGCCATGAATGAAACACTGATGACTCCACAATATACCGTAAGTCAGGTATCTTTAACAGAAACACACATAAAGCCAGGCATGCCTTGATTGGCTAACTACTACGCTGTGCCTAGAGACCTGCAGGAACCTAGCTCTAGTCTTCCAAAAGCGAAGTTCAGTGTTCACTAATTCAGTGGTTGTAGTGACTTTATAGAACATAATTACTGCAAATAATGAGAATTGACTGTATATATTGCCAAAATGTTCTCCAGATAGTAGTATAATTAGCTAGTACATTTTTACAGCCCCTTTGCCAACATCATAAAAATTTTAAATCTTTGGTAATTTAATTCTAAGCAATTAATTAGCCATTATATGAAAACCAATCTCTTGTAAAATTGGAAAACTGACTGCCAAGACAGAAAGCATAAAATGGTTTATGATGCCCACAAAATGAAATCTTGACATACCTCTGCATTTTACTCACCTATATATTTCACTTCTATATCCGCCAGTGCCTGCAAACAATTATCATATGTCACTTCCTCAATATCAAGCATTCCCACGGCATCATACACCTGTTTGGTCTTCACAATCAGCTCCTCAGTTCTTGTTTGAATTTGCTCTGGTGACAGGTCCCATCTTAAAACATTCCTGCCAGCTGCAGTAAAGGAAGACACTGTCTGAAGAGGAGACATCATTTCTCTTCCTAAAGTCATTCTGAGTAAAATCTTGGAACTATCAACTCTAAAAACAATCAGAAAAAGAATAAATATTAGGGATTTCTGCTGACTCAAATTCAACATAGAAATATGTACTGATTAAATTTTAAATTAAACATATTTCCAAAAAAATGAAGCTCATTTCTTTCTGATGAACATATATTTGCAAAACTAAACACACTTACTTCTATTTGCTATTTTTCTTGTACAATAGCGTTTTAATGGAATTCTCATTTTGTAAATACTGAATTGTTTGTATAATTAACTTATACATAAATATACAAATGCACACAGACTAAAGCTAAAGCTTCTTCGTGGTAAGAGGCTGCACTGTAATCCTGAAGGCAAAGGGTTCAAATCCACCAGCGGTTCCATGGGAGAAAGAGGAGGAAGCTCCTCTCGTGGGGTTAACTGACTCTGAAAACCTGCTGGAGGGTCAGCTATGAGTTGGTTCTGACTCAATGGTACACAACAACAAAAACAGTAACTATCTCAACAACCAAAATTAAACAATAATCTTTCTCATTTAGATTTTTCCTCATGCTAACTTGTACTTATTATTGATATAGAAATAAAATAATAAGTATGTAAAATCTTAGTTCAATATAGGAAAATATTTCTAAAATTTTCCTATATTGAACATAAAAAATTCTTAATAAAAGAGTGCCATATAAATGAAGAATGGTAAGTTGAATTTAACAATTGGAAAATAAACCCTGGCACATTTAATGCAGCATGTGAAAAGAAAAAAAATTCTTGCATATGATACCAATACTTGAGCCTCTTAAAACATTCAAACTAAGAATATTGACATCCTGCATTTATATATCACTTTCAAGTGTAAAAATATAAGTCACATTTAGTAGCTAATACATAGCATGCTTAGGCTTTGTTCTAAATGCTTTCCAAGTATTAACTCTTAGTCCTCACAACAGCAGGTGGATACTGTGGTTAGTCCCATTTCACTGAACAGGAATTCAAAACATGGAGATGCTCAATTACGTGCTCAAGGTTACACGTAACATATACATTAACATACAGGGTTATGTCTGGAATCCAGGTGTTGAGTATTCTGAAGCAGCCTGAATCGACAAAAGTTTAATTTCTTTTCTTTGGTGAGAATTTGGGTGCAGGGTTTACTGGCCATTGGCTGTGAGTTGAATGTATTTGGGCTTTCCGATCCGCTATCCATGGTGGGATCACCGCCAAGATGCAGATTTTCATAAAAACCCTCACGGGGAAGACCATCACGCTTGAGGTTGAACCCTCAGACACAATCGAGAATGTCAAGGCCAAGATCCAGGACAAGGAAGGAATTCCTCCTGATCAGCAAAAGCTCATCTTTGCTGGAAAGCAGCTGGAAGATGGGCGGACCCTGTCTGACTACAACATCCAGAAGGAGTTCACTCTTCACCTTGTTTTGAGACTTCGTGGTGGTGCTAAGAAAAGGAAGAAGAAGTCTTACACCACTCCCAAGAAGAATAAGCATAAGAGAAAGAAGGTTAAGCTGTCTGTTCTGAAATATTATAAGGTGGATGAGAATGGCAAAATTAGTCGCCTTCGTCAGGAGTGTCCTTCAGATGAATGCGGTGCTGGAGTCTTTATGGCCAGCCACCTTGACAGACAGTACTGTGGCAAGTGCTGTCTGACGTACGCTTCAACAAACCAGAAGACAAGTAATTATGAGTTAATAAAAGACAGTGAATTAAAAAAAAATTTAAAAAATGCATTTGGTCACCAGTATGTGGCTAGAAGCCAGATGCTGGGTATTCTGAAGCATCCTGATAACAACAACTATAACAAGGAGAGCTCTGTTGGCCTAGTGGATAGAAACTGATGCTATCAAGCCAAGTGTGGGTGATTTTAATCTGCGGCCCTCAGGCCTGGTTTTAATTGTTTGGGGTCAAACTTTCTTCTAAGTGGTATAGCACTGGTCTGTCCGTTTGCTGTACAGAGGTAACTTGTTGTTGCTGTGAAGCTGAACACTGTGACACTGACGTGTCAAATGTGATAATGGTCACCCATGATGGACAGTGTTTGGTGGAGCTCCCTGATTAAAACAAGCTTGAAAGCAGGAGTGGCATCCACTTCCAAATTAGCTTGCCTCTGGAAACTTTATGAACTTGGAGAAATGTGAAAGTTATACAAGTGTTCAGGTCTTTTGTTCACAGGGTCACTATGAGTCATCTACAACTCGATGGCACTTAACAACATACAGGGTTAAATGGTGGAAAAAAAACCACAAACCCCACCTCAAATTCATTGCTATTGAGTTGGAACTGACTCAGCTCACCTTCCAACAGATTTTCAGAGGCTGGAATTCCCACAGAATAAGATTGCTGCAGGCAGCATAAATCTGGAACCCATACCAAGTTTTTCCTCGGAGGCTAGGATTTTGAAGCTTTGTTTTACATACAGAAGAGACCAGATCCTTGGAGAAGGACACTATGCTCAGCAGGGTGGAGGGACAGTACAAGAGAGGAAGACCCCAGATGAAAGGGATTGATACAGTAACTGGGGCAATGGGGGTTGGTGTGTTGGAATCAGTGAGACTCTCTCAGGACAGGGCAGGGTTCAGAGCTGCTGTACATAGGATCACGGTGGGTTGCAGACGACTTGACAGCAACAATCTTCACCCCTACGTTAAACATCATCTTAAACATCCAAACCCCAAACCCATTGCAATAGACTCATAACCACCTTACAGAACAGAGTAGAAAACTGCCTCCAATGTTCTGTTTCTAGGCATTAGTCCTTATGGGAACTGACACTTTTCTCCCAGAGTAGCTCATGGTATGCTTGAACTGCCAACTTTAGGTTTGCAGCCATGCACTTAACCACCTGAGCCACCAGGGACCCTTTCTATTATAAGATACCAAAAAGCCTAATGAAGTAGGCAAAACATGATTTCTTTTTTATCAATAAAACAATGGAGGCTCAGAGGCTAAATGACTTGTTCATTCACTCAAATATCTGTAAGCATATACTAAGCATCTGATTACTGTAATAGGACCTGGGGATAAAATGGCAAGTCAGGTGGGACCTTGCTACTAAAACGGGATTAAGGCAATGCATAAACAGGCAACCTGCATTATACTGAGATGAAAGCTATGATAAGAGAAAAGAGAGGGAACTCAAAAGTTCACAAAAGGAGCATCCATCTGGAGAGTTACTAACAAGTAGCAATGAATACTGAGTTCTGAACAAAAGAGATAAGAAGGCAAGTAGAAACGAAAGAGTCTTGAGACTCACTAGAGCTTAATTTTATGTTTTAGACAGTGGAGAGCAGCCAAGGGTTTTAATCACTGAGTGATGTGGTAAGACATCCATTTTAAAGAAACATTTTAAATTACAGTAAGATGAACAGTTTGGAAAAGAGAGACCATTTTATAAGAAAAATGTTAACACTACTAGGATATAAGATTGTAGTGGGCTGAATTAGGAAATGAGGTGAACTGCAGTGATTTAAGGCATACATACTCAGGAGGTAGAATCAATAGGACTGAATGGATGTGGGGTGGGGCAAGTGAAGTGAGGGAGTCAAAGATGATCTCTCGTTGGCTCAAAACGTAATGAATGATTGGTGATGTCATTTACTGATATAGAAAACAGAAAGAGGAGGAGGCTTTTACTGGGAAAAAATAAATATGCATTTTCAGATATGCTATGTCTGATGTCTTTTCTATTATTGTTTATGCATCTGAAAGTCAGACAATGAATATGGCTGATAGAAGAACCGATGCCTTTGAATTGCGGTGCTCGAGACGAGCACTGAATATTCCATGGACTGTCAAGAGAACAAACACATCTGTCCTGGAGGAAGTGTAATCACAGTGCACCGTACAGGCAAAGATGGTGAAATTTCATTCCACATACTTTGAGTACGTTATCCAGAGGGGCCAACCTTTGGGAAAAGACATTATGCTGTGAAAGGTGGAGGGTAAGAAAAAATCCCTAACAAGATGGATTGACACATGGCCACATAATGTGCTGCAGCATGTCAGAGATGGTGAGGATGGTCCACGACAGGGAAAGGTTCAGATATGTTGTTAGTAGGGTGGTTATATGGAGCTCTGGTGGTCTTGTGGCAAGAAACTGTGCTGTAATACCGAAGGCACACAGTTCAAACCCACTAACTGCTCTGCGGGAGAATTATTGGCAATCTCCTCCCTTGAGACAATCTGCCTGTTAAAATCCACTGGAGGGTCAGATAAGGGTCGGTTCCAACTCAATGGTACACAACAAGAGTGGCTATGAGTCAGAGCTGACTCAGCAGCTTCTAACAACATCTGATGTAGGAGGGCTGGTGGCCCAGTGTTAAGGAGTTGAACTGCTACGCAGAAGGCACAGGACTCAAACTCATCAGCTGCTCTGAGGGAAAAAGATGAGTAATTTCACCCTGGACGATTTACAGCCTCTGAAAACCAACCGGAGGGTGAGCTATAGATGCTTCTAACTCAAATGTCACTTAACAACGTCAGATGTCTCAGAGCACAGACCAGAAGGATTCTTTAATATTAAACAGAGTGAAGCTTCAGCATTAGATATACCTCCCAAATGGAGTGTGCAGTGTAAGAGAACAACAAAGTCCTAACTGTAGCAAAACAAAGTTCTAATTGTAGTTCACGAATTAGGCCAAAAATCAAGACAGGATAGAGTCTAGGACACCTGAAAAGCAAGAACTGAAAAAGGAGTGGACAACAGTATCAAGTGTACAGAGGCCAAGAGACACTGAAACATTTCTATTTTAGTAACAAGAATGCCATTGATGACTGGCCAGAGGAGTTTCAGTGGAGTGGCAGGAGTCAAATTACTATGATTAAGAGGCACAGAAGGTAAAGAACTGGAGAGAAGGCACCTTTGCAATTCTCTGTAGATTAGGATGTATACACGAGGAGAGAGAAAGCAGTGTAACAGGAGAAATACATTTTTAATATAGTTTGTTGCTGTTGTTATGTGCCATCAAGTCACCTGTGACCCATACTGATCCTATGTATAGCAGGTCGGACACCTGCCCTG